ACCCCCACCCCCCACCCCGACCATACCTTCCGTAAAATACCGAGTCGCTGGAATTTTGAAAAGTATTGAAAAACGTTGGGAATTTCCTGAGTTTGCAAGGAGGCGAGCGACGATTAGTTGAGAAAACACGCGAGATGGGGCGATAAGTAAATTGTGCGTTAACTTTGCAATTAAAGGAGTGGAGGGTTGCCGTTCCGAGCGATGAGCAGCATAAAATTACGAATCCATTGGCTACGAATTCTCTATGCACGATGTGCAATTCCGATTTCACACTTAATTCCCCGGTGTGTGCAAGGTCGTGGGGCTTATCGGTGAAATCGCGGGCCGCGGGAACGAGTTAAGGGCGGATAAATTACAAGTCGCGCGATCATGAAGTGAGGAACTCCTCGTCCCAGCCAGATCTGATGGGAAGTTGGCGTGCGAATCGCCGACTCCCGGTGCTCACCTCAGCTGTTCGCGCTGCTGTTCGCGCTGCTGCTCGCGCTGTTGCTCGCGCTGCTGTTCGCGCTGTTGCTGTTGCTGTTGTTGCTGCTGCTGTTGCTGCTGTTGCTGCTGCTGTTGCTGCTGCTGCTGCTGCTGCTGCTGCTGCTGCTGTACGGCATCGCTATTGTTCTCGCGGTACTTGCCCGCGTCGTCCAGGCATCCTCGCAACGAGGACTCGAGCCTGTGTACGATGTCGTGGGAGCTGTCACTGGTCGTCGAGGTCCCGGAGTTGAGACTAAGGTTGACAGGGTCGGAGCTGTCCCTCCGCCGGGGTGGCTCGATACTACCCTCCCGGTTCTCCGAGTGCACGGTCTCACCCTCGACGCTTTCCACGCCCTCGACGTCGACCTCGGGCTCGACCTCCTCCTCCTCCTCGCAACCTTCCTCCGTCTTGATCAGTACGGAGCAGCAATCCGCCGGGTTGTTCGACTGCCTGTAATACACGCGCAGGTAGATGCGCCATTCGTAAGCTCATCGGGCCCTCGTGTTATTCCCCCCCCCCCCCCCACCCACCCACGCCAATCTATTCCCTATAATTCACTGTGCACTTTGTCTTGAAGCGAATGCCAATAATTAGCTAGTAGCATCAAGTACTTTGCTTTATCATTGAAATTTAGGATTCAATGATTGGAGGCAATTTTATTTAGCAAAGACGTTCTCGACTCATCGGCAAATGGACAATTAATTACAAGTGCTGTAAATTATCTGTATAATATTTTGCTCTCGATATCTCTCAATGAGATTTTCATGTTAAGTAGCTGAAAATCATGGCACCAAAGCGAAATCTCGAAATGAATATTAACTTGGTATTATCCAGATCCAAACGCTTCGTTACGTACCGCTCAGCACTATAAAAGCGCGATTTAATAAATGTGTATAATTTACCGATTATTGGTCGAAAGAAGGATAAACAATTCTGTATGCCGCAATTAGCTTCAACAGACGATGATAATAAAGGAAAAATGCTGGAATGACACACGTACCTGCCATCGTACTGAGACTCGTAACTCGAGCTTTCTTGACCTTCTTCCGAGGGTTGTGGGGTGGGTATCCTTTCAGGCTCGGAACCGGTTGAGCCTTGTGACTGGTTGGGCTCAAACAGTTCCGATTTTATTTGCAGGAGCTCGAATAGTTCTCTTAACGGCGTCAATTCCGTTGACTGAAATTTACAGTACCAGATAATGTTATTAAAAATTACCGATACATGTCCCCGTCGATATTGTGCCATTGCACCTTAGCACCAATGTACATCATCTATCTCGACACATTTCAGAGTGGCGTTTATTTATGACAGAAAAGGGGGAAAAGAGGGAAAATGGGGGGAGGGGGGGGGGAATGCTCGCAGACTCAATAATCAGATAGCTACTTACGGGTATCAGAGCCTCTCCGTTGTAGAGAAATTCCAGCAGATGGCTGAGTTGCGTCTTGCGTACCCCGGAGAGGTGCACTACGTGATCCAGTGCCGGATTCCTGAGGAGACTAGCCAATAGGGGACTGGCTGCTGCGAGCACGACTCGGTGAGCCCGTACGACCGAGCCGTCGTCGCAGGCCAGGGTCACATCGACGTGACGGTCCCCGGAATACCAAGCCCCGACCTCAGCAGCCAAGGTCGCCGGATGCTTGCCGTAGTGGAGCGTCAATAGTCCGTCCGGATACATCGTCTGCAGGCACAAGTACGAATGCGTCAGATACCCGATTGCATGTCAAAGTGAATTACGAGCCGTCGGTGGCCGTTCGTTTAAGTTAATTTGTGTGCTGCCGTAGCTAGAATCGTTCGGTAAGATAAGTTTTGAGAAAAGACGAGTCGACTGGACGCGAGTCAAGCTTGTGCCATTTGCGCCAGTGACTGATTTACCGAATTTCTCGGTGTGGCTGTTAACAATGGCCCGCGTTGAAAATAAATAATGCGGGTTTGGAAACTCAGCGTAAAACAATCGTTCTCGCGAAACGAAATAAGCCGGACACGAGCTGCGCACTAACACGAACAAGCGGACGATCGATAATAAAGATCCCAACGAGCCTTTCGGCATCGCAACATTACATAAATGCACTCGGGGGCTCGAGAATAAAGGAATAAAATGTAATGTAAAATGCCCTTTAAAAAATTTTCCTTTCGTTCGTGCGTAGTTAGCGAGTGATCCTTACATGCCCAATGATGCCATATGACATCATCTTCTTAATTCCTTTTCCTCAAAAAGTATGATCAATTTTGCACCTTCCAACAGCCAATGATATCTATGGCATCATCGCATATGTCCTTATTCCTAGGATAGAAACGAAGAATTAGTAAAAAATATTAACAAATTGACAATTCGAATGATTGTTTAGATAATCGGGTAAAACGATAATTAAATTTCTATCTAATTTTTCTCACAAAACATTTGACCAATCAAATTTTACACGATCAAAATACAAGTATAATAATGTAACCTTGTGCACAAAGCTTTTAAAAGATTTGAGAAATTTTGAGATTTATGATTGTTTCAAAAAGTGCGTTATTCAAACATTTTGTAAGCATTTATGCAAATTGCGAATACTTCTTGTCTCCTCCAATTCATATTTTTCAAATATCAAGTCGTCGTTTCAGATAATATCTTAGAGCGCGATACGCGTCACTTTTTTTGTTGTTCTTAAAAAAAAAAAAAAAAAAAAAAAATATACATATGTATGAACGAGCAGAGTACACGCGAGGCTTGCATATGTTTAAAAAAAAATACAACAAACAAATAAATTAATAATGTCTGTGCGACATCGCGATATTACGGATCGCGCATGTCATTTGAAATAATACGTGTCGCATTGCGCGTAAGTAAATAAATGATGCGTAAAGCGTAAACGTAAAATAAAAAATCAAGAAAAGTGTAAACAATCGGATCAGTATCATTTGCCTAATAAAATTACCAATACAATTAATTGGTCTTCCACTTTACTCGTAAAAATTCACGTAAATTGGTGAAAAATAAATATGCAACGATAAAATGATAATAATAACATGGAATTAAAAATAATTGTTGTTGGTGTTATTGTCGTCGTCGTAGTCATCTCATAGTTGCTCTCGTTGGTCAACGATTTGACTTTGATTATAAAGTGGAGTTGAGAAATTACGTTACAAAAAATTCCAATCCAGATATAAATTTTCATTCTAAAGTCTTTGAAAATTGTGCACAAGATACTTAATACTAATCGACGTGCTCGGGAGACCTGTGTTCTGTCTTTTTTTACTGTTCTCAAATAGTTGCCCACTACCTATCTCCGTCGATTTTCCTCTACCCTCACGCCTCACCCACCTTTCTCTGAAACGCGCATATGCTTATACAGTTAATTTACAATGGCAAAAGCCCCGCTCTCACACGACATCGGCACGCTTATTCGTTAATTTTTTAAAATATTCTCTTATTAATCAAGTCACAACTGTAGCAAATCATTAGTTTTAATAGCCTTTGAGGCGGCAATTGCCAATGGGTATTAGGCTCCTTTCGACATAGGCAAAGAAATTTCGTATTGGACGTAATTCAGCCATGCGGAAATAGCATTTCAACGATCATAAATAGAATTCCGTCGACTGGAGTTGTTACTTGACTAGAGAATGCACCGGCGCACCGTGACGTGAGCCCGTGTACGCGGAGAGAGAAAAATCGCAATAACACGGCGACTAAGGTTTAATGGACGAGAGAGGCCGGACGGCTCCGCCCGAGCGGCGACGCGAGGAGGAAGAGGAGAAGGAGAAGGTGAGGGCTGCCACTCGTGTGAGAAGTCAGTTTCTCATAATGAGCTCGTGAGTGCTAGTTTCCTCATCGGCGGGGCCGCATCCCAGGTAAAAATCGCGCGTATCGTAGCCAAGTGCCGATAACGATCGGGGAGCGCGAACTCGCCGATCGACGAAAAGCATCGAGTTTTCCTCGATAGCGATCGCGCTCGTACTTTCTCGAAGTGGCGGCGGTGTCAGCCGATGTGTCACGCATGCGCGCACCGTATAGCGCGACCTTCGGCTCATAGAGCCGCAGCTGCAATGGGAAAGCCGCGCGCGAGACCTTGGGTAAGAGTCACGCAGCGGCGGCGGCGGCGGCGGCGGCGGCGGCGGCGGCGGCGGTGGTAGCGGCAGCGGCAGTGTTCGTGGCAGCGGTGGCGGGGACCGCGCTAATGTTCTATCGCTCCTATGCTCATTTCCAAGAGAAGGAGTTGCGAGCGCATAACTGCCAGCTAAGAATACGTAATACGCCGCGTTACGCGCACGAACCGCGCAGCTGGTGCAATCAATTAGAGATGGATCGGAGGAACAAAGCGTTGCGCACTGTTGCATTGCGTTCCATTATGGAGAGCTTAGAATGTGAGGGCCACTCCGGTTTGCCTCTCTCACTCTCTCTCTCTCTCTCTCTCTCTCTCTCTCTCTCTCTCTGTCTCATTAACTTCTAAATATTGCCAATACCAGCATTGGGCTTTCGAGCGGCTTCGATTGCTTCTTTCGCCTTGGAAATTAGTGGGAATTACCGGTGCCGATGGTGCCGAAGCGATAATGTCGGCCCCTCGACGATTCTTTCAATCGGTCCATCAATTTCAGATCGATTGATGCGCGTCGTTTGTTTACTTAAATGGCAAGCAAACCTACTATTTACTATTAAAATCCTATCGCTTTGAATATTTTAATTATCGGAGAGTTTCGATCGAAGAATATCGAAGTGAGGATGATTTCGAAAAATAAAAGAATATAATCGAAATAGCGCGTAGAGCAGGGGTAAACTGTCTTCGCTAAATAGTCCCCATTATGCGCAAATTATCATTATTATAATTGCAAATAAACTGGTATGAGAACATTTGGCTAATTTAATGAAAAAATGTGCGCCGTTTTTAAGGCAATCCTTTTACGACCAATAAAGAGCATTTGAATGAGGTCTAATTGGCTAAAAAATTATAAAACGTTCAAATTCGCATAAATCTCAAAGATAATTAAACTTTTTTATTTGAATGTTTTTTTCCCCGATGCTTATACAACAAAATGTAATTCAAAATTTATTTCCGAGTTTCAAGTTTTAATAACAACGGCTTTATACTTTATTGACCTTATTCATTATTTATTCTTTATAAGCTTTGTGTATTATTGGCATTAAGTTGCATTTAAAATGTAACATAGAAGTTGATAAAGGATTGTACTGTACTGTTATTTTAATACGTCGACGACAGATCTTACAAAATGCTTTGCGCGAAAATACAGGGATGTTAATTAGAAAAGTTAATTTTTTTATATTTTATTTCTTTACGACGTTTTTACCGACAGATTCTCGGTAATAACAAGAAGAAAAAAATTAAGAAATAATGCTCATTACGTATTTACTATTTTAAGGAAAAAAGTTTCCAAGCATTTATGCATAGAATGCTCGTGTGCGTTAAACAAAAGCATTAATCGATATAAGACACTAATTATGTAATACGGTAAGTGACATTGGTAAATTACATAAAGATGTGCGAAAAACATCGTTGACAGGTTACTTTGAATAATACGAAACTATTAAAACTGGATAAAAAAAAGTTATGTGCTGAAGTTTTGTGAAAAGAAGAGACAGGTAGAGGTGACGATGATAAGAAAAGACCACGTGATCATACTTGGCATTCGACGGTAGAAGAATTTTTTCCTTTTTTTCATTTTCGCAACATAACTGACCTGTACGTAATGGATATTTTAAGCTGTTGTATTCACATTGCCGTTTATATGAAAAGAATAATTAATTTGCTTGATATAGTCGACTCGATGAGATGAAACAGCGACATACACTTTAAAAATACTTACAACATTTGATGAAAATGAACTTTTTTTTCCCCTCTCAAGGACACAGACAATGTCAAATTTAAAGCAATGCAAATGCATGCAAACAGCTAATGCGCATGCATTTTTTAAAAACTTATACAGATTTAAAGATTATCATCTCTCAAGATTTCATCTCTACTTAAAACTGGACTATATATATATATATATATATATATATATGTTAAAGGAGCGCTTATTATTAAGTGAATAAAAATTATTTTAATCCAAGATTACGTTACGTAATTAATGCTATGAGTAATGGCCTGAGTGCTGACTTTGTTAAAAATTCGTTATTATATTTCATTAGAATAATTTAAAATCAATTATCTATTTCCTCTTCTTTTTATTTTCATTGTTACCCTCCCCTTCACCCGACCGCCGCAAATCTCTAACTTTCTCGTCCGCTCCAATCCTTCCAACATTTTTCATTGTAACACGGATCCCATGTATTTTCGTATTCTCGAGATCATCATAGCACCAAGTCCAGCCAGTTCGACGACAATTTGCATTTCGCATACGCTCCGCATCGTATTAAAAAAACCCAGCCAAGTAATACATTCTTTTAATACAATAAATAATTTTCCCTCGACTCGTTCCTTTTGTGCTCGCGCGCAGGATTACGTAAAGGTAAATCATTCGAATCGCATCTCAATAAAACACACGCCAATGTAATTATAAGAGACGTAAGCACAAACACGTCCACTACCATTTTTCGACGTATGCAGGAAAGAAAAAATACGAGAGACCTCGTTATTCGATCGTACCGAGTCATACATAACGACGAATCTAATGGTGTAATGGTTTTTTAGCCAACGTTAGTAGCGATATTGGCTTATGCGTCACCATATCATTGGCTCTTAACGCGCTAACAATAGGGACATTTTTTTTGTCAAAGGCCAAGCCTTGCCGCTTACGTCCAAAATTCTCGATGACCGTACTTTCACCAATTCACATTGGGCTATTATTAGCGCTTTGGAATAATTGGTTGAACGCGCGCGCTTACGACACAGCATTTCCCGCGGAAGTTAACGAACGTCCGACGAAGCACGTGCCCGACCAAAATCTGGGTCGACACAGTCCAAGCCCACCGCGCGCCCTAACAGCCCAGTAAAAATGAACGCAACCCACATCATCTTCCTTATATCGAGATAGTCCGAAGTGCGCTAATTGGCTTACGATGTGTCGGGGGGACACAATACCGTCGACCTTGTGTCGTCTTTGGAACCTGCGTCCACGGCGCTAAGAATATTGATTTACGCACGGCCGCGTCGATCCCTTCCTTACGATTTTCAATCGTTGATCGTAATATAGGAACGTCCCTACCGTGTACTCGCCACTTGTACAACAGCGGCTTATTCAAGCCAGAACAATAATCGCCTGCCCAGAAGGTCGTTTTCCCATTGCTATTTACAGTAACACAAAAGCTCTTTTTTCACTTTCGATTTTCCAATGCGCTTCCTTGTA